GCGTCTGACCTTCATACACCTTCACCATCTCCGTTGATTTATACATTTTTCTTGCCTAACCAGATGGAAAAAAAAATCAACAACCCAGATTTAGCTCATTCTCTTTTCGCTTTCCCATCGTTGAGATTTTAGTCGATCCGTATAATAATTAAAAAAAAATATAAAAATCAGCAACCAGATTGTATTAGTTCACGTTATTCATGTTGAAATTTGAATGTTTTCGGTCCGATTTTTTCAAGATTTATCGATGGTTGATAGAGAGAGTAGAAAAAAATTCCGAAAAAACAAAATTTAAGATTTTTAAGAAACGGATTTCCAATGATGATGGTATTACAGGCGATGATGGCGACGATGATGATGATGAAGATCCTTCTGGAGTCAAAAATCAAATTTTTTTTAGATTTAGGGTTCGATGAACTGTTCGCTTGTGTTGTTGTTGATGATGCAGTTGAGTCACGCGCGATGAAGAAACCCTAGATCCAGAGGCGACTAAAAGTCAATTATGTTTCTCTCTCTATCTCTCTCTCTAACCTTTGTATCTTTTCTCGCTCTAGAATTTGCCTAACATCCGTGTGTATTTATCCACGAAATTATGACTTTTTTTTGTTTCCTTTTTCTGTCTAACGGAATATTTGTGGTTCCTCTTTCCTATGTAAGTTTCCGTCTGTTCGTCTGCTCTGTGAATAAACGGAAACAGAGTTTCCGTTACGGCTCTCTATATAGGTATGTTTGGCCCATGGGTAATATTATGGTGTAGGACTGTGGGTGCCCAAAATGGGTGTTTAGATCACCTCCACAAATCCCTTTTTTGTTGAGCAAAAAAAAGTTAGGTGTACTCTAAATTTAAATTTTGTGTTCCAAATTGTACATTACTACAATACTACTCCCTCCGTCCCAATTTAAATCGCCTGTTTTGACTTTTGAGCATATTTAAGTAAAATAAAAAATAGAGTTGATTTTTCGAAATTGACATTACTTTTTAAGAATAGTGATGATGAATGAGAAGATAAGGTGAATAAATGTGACTTGTTTTAGGGGTAGTTCAGGTATTTTATTTTTAAAAGTTTACGAAAACAACTAACAGTCAACTTATTTTGGGACGGAAAAAAAGGCAAACAGGCAATTTAAAATGAGACGGAGGGAGTATATCATATAGATACACAAAAAATTATTGTTTGTGCACGTACAGACAATAGTTATTTGTATTTGTCTGTGATACATTGATTTATAAGCTATGGTATTAAACTTTGGGTACACCTAACATTCCTCATTATGGAATGATAGAAGTATATGAGGTTATACTCTAAATTTTACCCCAAGACCTTTTCAAGCTTCAACCATATACTCTTTTTGTCCATTTTAAATCTTTCAAGTTGACTTTTCATGATTTAGTGGAATATCTTGGTCATTAATATCTTTATTTATAAATAGATACTCCCTCCGTCCGGAAATAAAATTTACGTTTCTTCTTTTTCTCCGTTCGAAAATAAAGTTTACATTTCTAATTTTAACCCACACTCTTCCAAAAATACCCTTCTCCATTTCAATCTTCTCTCTCCCTCTCCCCCCTTCCTCCTCTTCTTCCTTTTCCTCTTTTCTTCTTTTTCTTTCTCCCATCCGCCAGATCTATCTTTTCAATCTTCTCTCTCCCCCTCCATCCTCTTCTTGCTTTTCTTCTTTTCTTTCTCCCAACCACTGTTCTTTCTCCCNGATGGGCTGTTCCTGGTGCTCATATAGGGGAAGAGAGTCGTGGAAAGCCGGGTCAAGAGGGGCCGAACGGCCGGGCTCGAATCCGGGTCGGCTCAGGTTGAGCCGAAGTGGGCGGTCGTTTTGGGGGAGGAACAATTTGAGGAGGGACATCCTCGACGGCGGTTTTCCGATTTTGAGCCAAAGATCCGGAGGCGGAGGGGCGGGAGAAGCGCGGCGGCGTCCTATGGGCTGTTTTCCGATTTTGAACCGTCGGATCAGGAGGAGACTAGAAAGGGGGTATTTTGGTCATTTTACAAGGTTAGTCAACCTCCCTTAAAAATGACCAAAAGTCAAAACGTAAACTTTAATACCGGACGGAGGGAGTATATTATAAAAATGTAATAGTTCAAATTTATATTTCAAAGTAAACCTATTGATATTGAACTTATATCATAAGTCAATGCATTTTTCCCATAATTTATAGTCAACGTTTGAAATCGTTGACCTTGAATGTCAAACTGGAAAAACTCAAAAGTGACGGAGGTAACACTTTTTATCCACACTTTTATTTTTTATATTCACACCAAAGATTATGTAGTAAAAAGATAGTTGAGACTAGGGTACATCTTGTAATACATTTTTAATTGGTGTACCTCAATCATCTTTGTTTTCATTTAGAGTGACCCAAATGGTCACCTTTTCACACTTAAGACTCTTCTCTTAGTGAGGTCTTAAGTCGAAGTCACTTAAAGGCAAGATCGAGAGTTTTTCATTGATGAACCTAACATTTAACACCCTAGTACAAATTATTTGGTCGGATCAATTGTGGATATTTCATTTCTAACGACAGTGTTTGAATTCAGAGCTACTAGGAACTTGAGGTGGGTCTACTGGATGCTTAAACGACTTGAAACTTGATGTTGAATAATGACTCAACCGACGAAATTAATTAGAAGATGATCAATACTAAGAGGACTTGACCAACCAATATGTATCACTCTTTACATCTATCTTCAATTGAAAGTTCCATTTTTCGAATAGATAAAAGGGAGGGAATGATTAAATTGTCATTGTCTCATTTTTTCAATTTTATTCAGGTAGTGTTTAACAAGTACCATTTCATATAAATTCTTATATTTCAATTCCAAAATTTAAATTCTCGAATTTCAAATGATAATGAAAGACATAAATTTGCATTTAAGATTTGTACTAAATTATCACCTAGAATTTGATTTAAATTATCACCTAGAATTATTCACACAATCTCACCTTAATAATTTGACTACAAAGTCAATTACACTTTAACCCTACAATTAATGTTGTTGGAAGGATAAAATAAGATCGAGACAGGGTGGGGGGTTTACTGGGATTAAGGGTAGGAACTATCAAGTTTGCCAACGGAGTGCCATAAGTGTCAAAATTGGGTGAGTCGCTTCCTTAGCCACTCTTTTTGAGTGGTTCTAGAACCCAGCCGATATTTTTAATAGTTATACTTTGTTAAATATGAATTTTATTTGGGACAAGTGCATTATTATGTTTGATTATTATGTTTGAATTTGAATATTCAAATCAAATCCAATATCTCTGAATAAATTGGACAAATAAAACACGAATGGAGTTTAGGATGTGTTTGGTGAACAAACAAGATTTGAGTTTTGATATCTCCGGACATCAAAATCTTTTTTTGATGTTTAGTGAAGTCAAAAGTGATATCGAATTTGATATTTCCAGATATCATAAATCTTCAAAATGGAGGATTTTGATATCTCTCAAATTTAGCAGATATCAATATGATGATTTTATTTTTCTCTCAAATCTCAACCGGCGATCATTTTTCACCACTTGCTATCATTGTCACCGCAAACCACTCTTGTTGCCGGTCACCTTGCTTATCACTAATTAGCTAATGATTTTAAATCTCTCCAAATAAATTTGTTTCAAACTTTAAAACGTACCCTCTCAGTCCCATTTTATAATGTCTGTTTCGGTTTACGATGTTTGACTGAAATTATTTTCAAACCATTTTACATGACAAATGGTATAAAATTAAAAAATAAAAATTACATATTAAATAACTACATCAAAAGATCTACAAAACTAGTAGTGACAATAATATTTTATTTTATTAAATTGCTAACGAAAATAGAGAAAGAAAATAAATGAAATTTGACCTTGTGAATAGTGAACATGCATTATAATTTGGGACGGAGGACGTATATCATTTCTCTCAGAATTCATAACTCGTACCTTATCATATTTCCAAAACTTACCAAACAGATCCTTAATATTTGAATGTTAACTGAATATGATTACCTTTAGAAATTACAAAGCTTACAAACCCAGTTTAGACTCATTAACAAGTCTCATGCGTCTTCCGTTATTTGAGAATTAGCATAGGCAAAAGGTAGTTTTCAAATTTTCTACATTTATTCTAAGAGCAATGCTAGGGGTACACCAAAAAGTGTACCCCAAATGTACACCACCCCCTTTTCCACCACACATTTTTATTTGATTTTTATTTATTTATTTTTTTTTAAATTTTTTTGCCTTTTTTAGTGGACAAGGAGGGGGTGGGGGACATATGGGGTACACCTTTGGCGTACCCCTAGCATTTTTCTTATTCTAATTTAGGGTCTTATTCTAAATGCCGACCTTTGAGTCTAGACCGACCTTGCATCCTTCCTAGCGTCTAACATCTATATGACACCAAGAGAATTGAAAAAATAGTCTTATCAAATCGGTTATATATGAGCAAAAGGTGAAGATCATATTCCTTTACTTATTTCTTACTCTACTTACGTCTCATTTTAAAGTTTGTTTACAATTCACACGATCAAATTTTAATCTCTTTTTTTAATCATTTCATGAGATAGTCATATCACTTTTTGTTTTGTCCAGAGTATAACTTTTAACATAATTTTTAAATACATTAATTAATTTATTACAATTTTCACCCCATTTTCAAATAACTTTTTCCATATTTAACCAACAAACAACTCAAAATGGGACTGAGGGAATATTTTCAACTACATTTCATTGCTTTAATTTTAAACTCCGTATTATTTAATAAAAATATTCATGTTTTCATAATGCAATGCACTAAAACTTCTCGTACTCCCCCAATCCCAAATTAAACCGCATGTTTATTATCCACATCGTTAAACTTTGTTCACTCCATGTCGGGCATGTCATTACAACAACGACCAAGATATGATGGGACAATTAATTGCTGTAGAAATCACTGCAAAACTGGACATTAAGACTTGTTCATGGAGACCACTTCCAAACAAACACTGGATAATACAGAGATTAAGGAACCAAAACCAATGACAAAACCCACTTCCGCTCTATAATACTTATATTATGTGTATATATATACACACACACAAGATTAATATATCCTTCCAACCAAACATAAATCAAGCACTATACCTTTCGATTAAAGGGTTTCAGTGAAGAAGATATATGTATATCATATGTAGCAATCAATTAAAGAACACTTGAAAAGGAATTCAATAGTTGCTCTATTACCTTTTTAACCACAACATAATCACGGGGACTAAAGTGGTTCAAGGGACCCACTCTTGAGCCTCTCCATTCGTGCCTGAAGTCCCGAGAGGGCCTTTTCGTCCATGGGAAGGACCCCTGACCCATCCTGCGGGGGGAGAATAGCCTCACTTCCATTACTATGACCATTATGAGAGGTCTCAGCAGATGCATGCTGTGGACTTGAAGCCCCATGAGTGATAGCGCCATTGTTTGGGGGCATCAATTGCCTGTTTCCGGGATCTGGAAGCCCGGTTGATGCCGCTGCTAGTTGGATGGTTTTCATTCTTTCCCTGATAGCTTCTAGAGTTCCGCCGGTGACTGCAAAGGGCCATACGTAACACTCATTATTGTCTCTTGGATCCCGTTAAGGTTAACATACTAGGGATGGGAAGTGAAGTGCTAAGAAAAATCAAATTTCATGTATTTGATGCAAAGGAAAATGACATGCGGACAGGTGATTAATTTTTTCAAACAAGTTTATACTTCCTCCGTCGATAATTGATGTTACTTTACATTTTTTTGACGTCCCAAAATGAAAGCCACGTTTATCATATTTCCATTTAAGGAAAAGAATATGTGGCTTACAATATTTCTTTCTTCCAAACAAATCCTAACCACCCACTTTTTTCTTCTGAAGATTTTACTTAAATTCCATGAAGTCAAAGAGTGACTTTAATTTAGGGACGGATGAAGGGAGTATATCTAGATTTCTCATTTATTTTATGATATGATGCGTAGAAATGTAGAACAAGTAGAAGTTTGGAAACCACTTTATCTGGCTTAAAAGCCAGACTTCTCTTACCAAAAAGTAAGTTAAACATGCATTCTGAAATTGCTGAAGATAACTGGCCTTTTTTCAATCAACAAAATGTTTTTTTCATGACCCAATCAATTGAGTAATTGAAATTTTAATATCAAGAAACGCCGTAAGCCTTGCTTTTATGGGTCTAAATTAATACTCCCTCCGTCCGGAAATATTCTTCCCGTGTTGACTTGGCACGCTTATTAAGGAATAGTAAAAAAAATGCAAAATTTTCAAAAATGCACATACTATAAACTTTTAAATCTCCTTTTATTATTAAAAAAGTACTAAAAAAGTAGATTTGTGATAAAATAGAAGGGTATTATTGATATTTATCCTTAAAAAGTATACTAAAAAAGGAAATGGGAAAAATATTTCCGGACGGACCAAAAAGGAAAGTGAGAAGAATATTTCCGGACGGAGGGAGTAACATGAATTCGAACAAATATAAAAAGTATATTTATTTAGTTTGAGAAATATCTTTCCCTAGTGTTCCGGTAAAATTGGCTTGAAATGGATAACAAGAACTCAGAAAAGAGAAGGTGTTAGCACGTGTTACCTCCAGATGGAAATCTTTCACCCTGTATTTCTCCTGGTTGTTGCCGTATTTCTGATTGATCCAATGCAGAACCCCTTGTTGAAAGGACTGTATTACTAGATCTTTCATCCTCGGCATACGACGGAGGGAGACTAAAGTGTGCAGGTTCCATTTTAGAACTTACAGCGTTTGTATCATTGATTATGTTTCTATTTACAGGGAGGGATGGAGCTCCGAATTTCGGGAAAGATAGTTCCATTGTAGATGGTGGAGGAGTTGGCACAGGCACGCTAGAAGGAGTTCTTCCAGCTGCTGCGTTATTCTCCATCTGAGATAAACAGAACAAAATCTATTTAGGACAATTTACCTTAAAACAACATTTGATTTTTATTTAGAGCCTCAAATATTCTCTCTATCATATTAAGACGAGATCCAATGCCCATTGTCAATTTGGAGCTAAAAGAGTCATTTTTGGCAATGTTTTATAGCTTTGGGCCAAGTGGCCAACATCCATTGGTTCTTACATTCTCTGAAGTTTTGGCAAGTATGTGCCAATGCATCAAGGGTCTAGCGGAAACTTCTTGGCTTTTTACCGGGGTGAGTTTGCATACTTCCTGACCCTCTGACCTCAACGTAGTTGGGATTTTACCAGGTTTGTTTTTTAATCAATCAAAGACCCATATGATATACTACGTACTCCGCAAATGTCAATCATGGACAACTAAATCTAACACCATGTTTTTGGTTGTACAAATCAATAAAAGAAAGATGTCTTTTGAACAAATTAAGACCTGATTATACAATTTATACTCCGTCCCATTATTATCTTCAATTTATGATTTATTACATTTCACACGTTATTTTTCAATTCAAGTTCTTTAAATATAATCGAGAAATTTAAAAATAAAGTTTATGCATTTAAAACCTAGTGGGTGTTTCTCTATGCTTATAAACTAGTCAAAACTCCTTATAAGTTGTTATTAACTTATAAGTCAGCTGCTGATGACGTATTTCTCAGTGTTTATAAGTTGCTAATGAGTCGGAAAAAATAAGTAGGTCTTACCTACTTATTTATAAGCATATTTTTTGAAACTCTGCTTTGACCTGATTATTTACAAAACTAATTCTCACATTTATGAACATTCCCAAATGACTTATCTAACACTTAAGTAATTTTACTTCCACGAAAGAATATTTAACTTATAAGCAGCTTATAAATTAAAAACACCAGCAATAAGCTAAAAAGTACCCGCACAGAGAAACAAGTGGTGATATTAATATTAATTTAATAAATGATGAAAGTGAATACGCAAGGAAAGAAGATAAATTTTAAATGGAGAAGAAAATATGGGACAATGGGAGTATAAATGTTTATAAAGGACAAATAATACCTAGCAATGTTCTGGTTAAACAAATCAATAAAAGAAAAGGAGGGTGACATAATAGAGGTTGAGGAAATATATTACTCGTTGTCCCAAAAGTCCAAAACGATTGGTCCTATTTGATAACCTTTTTTTGGTCTATAGTGTCCTATTTAAACAGAAAATTAAGTTTCATTATATTTAGTGTTTTTTAGTACCTACGAATACCAATGTGTGTGTGTGTGTGTGTGTCTATATATATATATATATATAATTTTATATATATATATATATATATATATTTGTGTGTGTTTGCGTGTGTGTGTGTTACACACACAAAAATTAAGTTCAACCAATATATAAAATAAAAATATACTCCCTCTGTCCCAATTTTTTTCTCACCTCTCGATAACTTTGGTTTATTGGAGTGATTTCATTGATTATTTGATAAAATAAAATATTCTTGTCACCTCTTGCTTTGTACAACGTTTGACTTAGTTTTTTAACATGTAAATTTTATTTTTTTATTGATGTATCAATTTGTAATAAAATAATTTTAAAAGTCATAGGGTTTTACCTCACAATTCCCAATTTGTAAAAATTGGGACGGAGAGAGTAGCTATAAGTGGCATTGTGTAATAGTTGTACATTGCTAGAATTTAAAATTAGTACCTTGTTGGAACAAGGCCTTTTTTATGGGATGGAAGGAGTAATATGTCACACAACCACTTTGGATTTGAGTAATTGAGTCTGGGCAATCATGAATGGTTGAAAACATCTATTAAGACAACTCATTAAATGCTAACGGTTGAAATTGTATGATTAGGTACTGAGAAATACTTGATAGGCTATGACAAAGAAGTGCATGCGGAATTATGTCTCAATATAATTAAAGATATGTAGCAAGACAAACAAATGTTTGAAATTTTGGAGGGGTGAAAGAAATGTTACTATCATGATAAGGTCACGTGCAGTGGTTTATGTTATTTGCAACTTGTTTCAGTAAACAAGAGTAAGAAAGCTAAAACACGGATTAGAGTTACGGAGACAAGATGAACACATAGATTTACGATAAGTTGAAGCAAAACAGAGTATTTCGGATGTAAGTAAAACATGTAACAAATATTGTGGAGAATTTGGATTGGAATGTGCTACACAAAGTGGAGTTCTAGATAAATACCGGACAAATATGATTAATGCAGGCTAGCTCAAATAGAAAGGTGCAACAGGGCTATTATATAATTGAAATGAACCACTTAGACTGAAGGGAAAATTTTATACTGACTGAATTATACGGATGTGAAGGTTAGGAATGCAGAAAGATTTATAAAGAAGACTGGTGAGAAAGATGTGTATCAGGCTATAAGCGTATGTTAAAAAATGTGTAATAATACTAGAAAAGATAGTGTGCAACCAGGAAATTCGTGGGAAGGAGGTGATGCCATCATTTAATTTAAGGTAATAGGATAACCAGTAGCATTGGTTTAGGCACGTCAGTGTTGTGATCTAAGTGCCTGATAGAGAATAAAATCTTATACTAAGATACTTGAAAAGAAGCCAGGATAGACAAAAAATGACTTGGTTTGGGATTGAGGCTTGTGCAACAACTACAACAACAACCCAGTAGGATCCCGCGCAAGTAGAGTCTAGGGAGGGTGAGTGAAAGCAGACCTTGCCCCTACTCGAAAATATAGAGGATGTTTCCAAGAGACCCCTGGCTCAAGCTGCAAAGATATAGTAGAGAAAGCATAGATAAAGCACAAAGCACGCTGGGGCAAGGAGCAAACCAAGGTTGACAAAAGAAAAGTACTGCAATCCAATAGCACCAAGCATACAAACCACACAAGTACAGAAAACTACCCCCTAACCCAAGGCGCAAACCCAACTATAATCCTAGCTCTGTCAGTAAGGGCAAGAAGTCACAGGTCCAGTCTAATCACCTCCTTCCAAGTCTTCGAAGGTCTTCCCCTTCCCCTACTACACCACCTGACAGAAGCCTCTCGCATCTCCGCATTGAAGCGTCAGCAGTCCGCCACCTCACATGCCCAAACAACCTCAACCTAGCTTCCCGCAGCTTATCTTCCCCAGGTGTCATTCCCACCCAACCTCGGACAACCTCGTTTGGAATCCTATCCAACCTCGTCTTTCGATACATCCGCCATAACATACGCATCATTGCTGCATCCAGGGAACAAACGTGGGCTATCTTAACATCCCAGCAATTTGCTCCATACAGCATAGCCCCTAGCCGGGCTAACTATGGATCAATAAAACTTACCTTTCATCCTCGACGAAATCTTCTTATCGCACAACACTCCTGAAGCCAACCTCCACTTAGCCCAAGTCGCTCCAACACGAAGCACAGCATCCCCTCCAACTACCCATCTGCCTGAATGACCGAGCCAAGATACCGAAACTTGTCTACCTTGGGCACTATGTGAGAGGGATTGAGGCTTGCTCATTGGTTCAAATTCTTTGCATGTTTTAATTTTTTGTGTTCTATTTTTTTTTATTTCACCCAAACTTGGTGTTATATACTCCATATGTTGGCGTCTTTGATTAATATTCAGCACATTTAAACTTTAAACTTATGCCAACTCTGATCCATGTTCAAATACACAACCTTATTTCCCTATTGCAGTATTACATATATAAAAGAAATAGGAGAAATGCAGACCTGGGCTAAACCATCTCTAATATACGTCCTAAATGCTTCACTTGCATTCTGCAGCTGAGAGAAGATGTCAACCTGAAAAGCATCATAAACACTCTATATAGGACTGCTGACAGAACTATAATAATACACCCTTCATCCCAATAAAAGGTTCCAACTTTGAATTGGCATGGAGATTAAGAAATGTGAATTTGTGTGGTTGATATTGATGCAAAGGAGATAGAAATTATAAGGACCACAATTGTTTTCTAAGTGGAAAGGAAATTTGAAACCTTTTTATGGAACGGAGGGTGTAAACAATAATACGAAGTAATAAACATGTCAGCAGATTACCCTGGGATAGAGTTGTGTAATTCTATATAACTCAGAGAGACCAATCTTACACGTTTGCTTGTCAGCAATCTTCTTGAATATTGCAGCTAATTCTTGCTGCGAAAATAGTAAATAGTTAGGTTACCCTCAAGGAGAAAGCTTTGCAGCCAAAACATGTAAAAGTAAAATATTGATAGCACCTTCATCTGTGCATCAGAATGGTTCGCAGGTGCTGAATTGTTGGCACTGGAATCACCCCAATGAGTTTGTCCAGGTACAGGTGTTAACATTCTTGCAGCTGCTAATGTCTGCTAAAATAAAATACCATGAATAAAATCATATAACAGATGTTTCCAGCAAGCAGACTCAAGTGCAGGCGGGAATTATGACAAAAATGTGGAGAGCTTAAAATGTTAAACAAGAACATTACTTGGAGGTTAAGATCAATGTAAGCAAGAATGATAGGTTGTGGTTGCATATCAATAGGTACCATTGAAAGGTGGCCCTTTATGGCAGTCCCACGAAGCTTAACAAGTTCGTGCAGAACTGTTTTCACCATTCGCAATGGTTTATCATCAGCTCCAGCTCTGAATAGAGTGTCAAACAAAACCAAAAACAAAACATTAAATCAATGCATCAATTAATAAGAGTCGAGTGTTGGGAAAAAGGTAGTTATCAACAGTCAAAATTTGCAAGAGTACTCCTGGAATATAAAAGTATTTATTTGGTTTGAACACACCTCCTCCGGATTTCCTCCATGCCTAATTCTTGCAGGTATACATGAATGCTTTGAAGAATTCTATCAAGGTCAACATCATATATGGTACTTTGGAGAACCTACATAACATAATAAACAAGTGTGGTTTTTCCTGAGGCCTCAACAACAAGAAAGTTTCTCAATTCTCATAATAAGCATAGCAAAATGTCAAGTAGGCTCATTCAGAAACATAGACAATGAAACAAACGATATCCAAGAAACATTTTTCAAACCATACAATAAGGTCTGGAATATTCATTCCCTACCGGGGATAAATTTGTGCCCAGAATGAAAAATACAAGGTAAAAGATACAACTCTTGTGGCCCGGGTTATTACTGTATTGTTGACTGAGTTGACTCAGCCCTTAAGAAAACAACACATCCATTTAGCCCCTTTGAAATCAAAGTGGCAAAAAGACCCTCATTAACTTCTCATTTTCTGAAGGACCATTTGCGCCACTTGATTGACTTCCAAATCACCAAATGACTAAAAATGAGTGCACCATTACCTTGAGGACTGAGTCAGCAAATCACCTAAAAGTCAGCAATACCTACCTAATCTTTTGCAGATAAATTTCATAATAAAAGGCAAACAGAAGTTCATACTTAGTACAATTACAAGAGAATCACCTTGGTAAGTTTGATAAGACATTTCACAACCAAATCAGAGAACTTCTGGCTTCTTGAAGCTAAGGACTCATTTGCTGTAGGAGATGGCCACCTTGAAGGTTCCAGAGGCCGTAGAAGATTGATGAGAACAACAAATGATGTTGTCCGATCAGCATTATCCTAAAATCAGATTTCATAAGTATTTGAGAACTGGAAGGTGGTGCAATTGTAATACAACAATTCTCTCTCTCCCTCTATACTATATATATATACACACACACACATATATATATACACACATAGAGAGGGAGAGGGAGAGAGAGAGAGAGAAACACGCAAGCACACACAAACATATGATATCTACACTTGAAACCAGGTTTTACATAATACAAATCTAAAACATTAAAAATCACATGAAGAGAAACGATCTAAAGCGAAAATTTCTGACACTACAAAACATCTTCCCACTGGAAGCTTGTTTCCAGTTGACAGCTTTCTTATGAAAGAATCTGCTCCAATTCAAGTCTGTGTGGGGGTACTCAAGGGATTGTAACACTACAAATCTGATCCCACATAACGCGATCCTAGGAAGTACCAAATATCTCTCACATACCCACAATATGCACTAATAAAACATTCACAGCAAAAACCCAGAGCATGAATGGCAACAAACACTCCAACTAGAGAGGAAAAAACAAGAACACCACCAACTATCTAATACAAGGAAAAGAGGGGCTTACTGTCACCCACTTGATCTTGTTTTTCTCTTTCTAAAAGCTAGAAAGGAAGGAGAGAAAAGGAGATTCTAGAAGAAAAACATATCATTCTATGACCAACCAATATAGTCAAAGCACATGCACTCAAAATTTCTGATACATGCATACCAAGATCTTAAGCATCAGAACATTCAAGGCTTTCAGAAGCTGACTGCCATCATCCATTCGGGGAACTCTGTCATCTAAAAGCCAGAGAAGCAGCTCTGTAATGAGAACCGTAAGGGTGCTTTCTTTTGCAGCATGTGCCATATTTCTGTTTTGAAAAGTCTGCAGGAAAACCATATAAGAGAAAACCGTTCAGATACAAACATAAATCCAGAACAATGGTGTCCCGTCATTCCGCGTCTTCTGAACCAAAAATCTCCTCCAAAAGAAATGGAAAATTAGTGTGTGTTCAAATAGAACTTGCCTGCATAAGTGTATTGAGAACATATTTACAAGACCTTGAAGAGTCACCCATCAAACTAAACTTAAATGCTTCGGAAACCTGTAGCATATGTCAATCCAGAAGCAACATCACGTTAAAAATGAAGTAGGTAAGAAGTGCAATAAAGTGAACTACCATTACAGGATTTCTTGCCTTATTTGCTAAGCAGGATACAAGTTTATCAGCATCTTTTAAAATTTGTTCCATCCCACTGCCTTCAGGGTCACCCATTGCTAGCCCCAACTTATGGGATACAACTTTCATTCCTTCTATTGACTACAAAACAGAAAAGAGTTTCCCAACAAATCACTCATTACTTTCAAAACATGCATTATCAGCATCTTTTGAGTTAAGACTTTCAAGACACCAGATATAAAAACCATGAAATTGAATTTTCCACACATTATCTATATATGTATAATATATATGCAACCTAATCATTACTTATATATATGGGTGTCAATTTAAAAAAAAAATTGCTAGGACCTAAACATAACCGAGACATGAGTAAACTATATGCAAAAAAAAACAAAGTTCAAAGTTATAAAAGTGGTTCTACAGAAAGTGAGAAAAATAAGTGCAGTTAGCTAATGAAATATATAAATATAAATATAAATATATATATATATATAATTATATATATATATATATATATCTGTGTGTGTGTGTGTGTCAGTATGTCACACATAGCTAGAAGTGACAACACCAAGCCAACTCACACATGTTATAGTAACCTTTGTTACTGAGCCTAAACATTGTTATATTTCAAACAGAACTACAAGTAATAGAGATTGAAAAAACCAAATTATTAACCATTAATATTACTGAAATGAGGTGATTTCATTTTAAAAACAAGAGAGAATTTTCAGAGTAATGTTATGAAAGAAGTTCGATGTACATTCCAAAAGTACTTCGCAGATAGTCAAATAGGCCCCACATAATCAAAGCGTCATACGATACAATGAGTAATAAAGGTGAATTGCAAAAAGTAAAAACCTAATGGTGCTTAATGTAAAAATATACTACGTAAAATATTATTTTGGAAAGCAATAAATGAGAAAGATGGAAACATATTTTATAGGGATATGCTAGGGGTACACCAAAGGTGTACCCCAAATATACACCACCCTCCTCTTAACCATTCATTTTATTTTATTTGTATTTTTTATTTTTTATTTTTTTTGAATTTTTCTTTCCTTTTTTGAGTGGTGATGGAGGGGGTGGGGATGTTTGGGCCCTTTGGGGTACACTTTTGGTGTACCACTAGCATTTTCCTATTTTATATATTATATCTAAAAAAAATCACCGGAAAAGCACCTTGCTCAGGCAATAAACAAGGTTTTATTATATACAAAGCGCCATTGCATGAACCAATCATATGGGAATCCCTCTTGATCAAGTAGGCTAATGTACTCAAATATTTTGAAATATGTAGAGTACTAGATGCCATCATGCTTTCTATACCTAGGCAATGGCTTCCACGGTTCCACCTTTAAAAAATTATATGGAGCACAAGACTTGTTTTCTAAACCCAATATAAATATGATATACTCCACAATAAGATTAGAATAAGGAATAATCTCAGTGAACCAATCATTCAGAACGTTGTAGTGTTCGAGGGGGGTCATATGCAGCCTTTCCTTGACAATTTTAGTCAAGAGGCTATTTCCACGGTGGTGGTTCAAACCCGAGACCTGTTTGGTCACCAAAGGAGGAACTTAGCAATGGCACCAAGGCTCAGTCACAACCTATCATTAATACCTCATTGTTAAATGGAGTGTTATCGTGCATATAGAGATGTAAAGAAATTGAGAAAATTGGCAATTAGTATTCTGCACATATTTGAAAGGGACTATTTTGAAACAAATGTTATTATCCAAAGTATCAGAGTTGGAATGCACATCAGATCAATGTAAACCTGCTCTGGAGAACCATATGCAATTATATCCAAAGCTTCATTCCAGTCGGTGGGGCCATTAGTTCCAGGAATTGGCAAAGGTATTAAATGTCTCTCGAGGGAAACTTCAGATTGGTTGTAATTCTCTCTGACAAAAAATATAGCAAAATAAATTAATAAAAATATAAAACGAAGCCCAAGCAGTCAAAATGTTTGGAGCAAAGTTCTATCTTCTACCTGTTTAAGATTGGAAAGGCAATAGACCTAGAAACTTCACCACTTTGCTCTGCCAGATCAGACCTAAATATCCAAAATAACAACCTGGGGGTCAGTTATTAAGCACCACAAAACAAAACCTTCCCATGCAACTTAAAAGCACCGTAGATTAAAAAATGACTTCGGTAAATGATGAGAACTATTTGTGTGATCACTGATCTGTTTTCTGTATCCTTACAAGGTACCCTATTTTGATATATTTACATACCCAGTATCCCGCACAGATCGCCTCAAAGCAGCCCTAGATTCACCAGGTTTTCCCTCCTTCCTCTTTTCCATTTCCCGAGCCTGAAAATATATTTACGTATTGATACAATAATAGGGACGAAGCAATATGGACCACTTAAAGCACATGGATGAAAAAAAGATAAAGCAGTTGTCAACCTTCCACTTAAATCTATCATCTAACATGCTTCTTTGAGCCTCTGTTAGCTTTCCAACATATCTCCATATGTCATCACCTGAAACATTTTTACAACAAAAATTTGAATAACTAAAAACTGGAAGGGTTCCAAAAAAGAATGTTAGGTAAGTAGTATGTTTCCAAGATAGACACAAGAATGAAAGAGCTACAAGCACATTCCTGAGAGTAATAAACAAACTAAACCCTGGAGACCAAAGGAGGAACTCCCTCAAGATTTTATCACATAATACAAATAGAGTACAGAATAGAAGCATACCTAATAACTTGTAACCAGTTGCTAGAGTATTTAATGCAGCCTTCCGAAGTTCACCATCCCGTTCTGAAGTTAAACTAGAAACTATTTGCAAGGATTTTAACTGCCCACCAATCTGCCAGGGAAAAGGGGTACTATTAAAACAATGAAAAGATGGAGCATTTATCTGGTCACAAAAAGAAGAAATTAAGGTTGAAATTGTGCCTCTGCTCCATGGTTATCTAGTAAGAAGCCAACAAGATCAACACACTCTATCCGTGTACGATTGTTTCTAGAACGCAGACCCTCCAAAATATACGGAAAAGTCTTTGACGCAGAGTATGTGAGAATAACTTTTTTCATCAGCTCGCGCATTTTCTCTCGTACTTTCTCAATATTGTGACCAGACTGTAATACAAATTATATATAATAAAATAGTCAGTCAGATTATAGAGAATACAGCAGGTGTCATGTATGCACTATATAAATGTTTTATATGGTTAAATGAAGAACCACCAGTCCAGCGCAAAAGCAAGTGGTAAACTAGAACCTTTTCAACCAAGCACGGAAGAAAAATGGCTGCTTCAGCTTCTGACAAGGTGCAACCTTCATTCTTTAGCATATCAAAAAGCTCGGGAAGGCATTCAAGCACCTAATAAAATTATTAAATGCGTAATATATAATGAGTACTGCAAAATCAAACTAAAAAAACATGCAATAAAGGTAAAAAAAACAAGAGAAAAAAACAGTTAACATTGCAAGGAAACTTTCAATAGATAAAAACAACCTTCAGTAGACATGCAGTGTTGGATTCACAGAATCTCAAGACAAACCACCTTAAGAGTATGTCAAGAACTTCAATTATTTCTTTCCCTAAAGACGGCAGCGCCTGAAAATATTGGAGAAAACAGATAAATTAAACTACTCATTTCTCCTAGGGATGAATAACTGCAATCCAACGCACCTTTTGTAACATTTCAATCCCATCAACTTGCTTTTTGAAGTCAGAACTTAAAAGCCTCCTATGGAAATCTTCTCGGAAGAACTTCATCAAATCAGTCTGTAAATCGAAATTTGTACTCTTTTAAATACCAAACGGAGATATCAATGTTGCAAAAATAATTCAGTAATCTCTGAAGTGCTACAGCCAAAAGACCTCAAGATCTTGAATCTGTTCAAGACGTGGCTCCTCGAACTTAAATTTGCGAATAACTGTTCTCTCTCTCTCATCCTGCAATTATATCGACAGTCAACCCTGAGTCATTCAAAGAGTAAAGATATGCTTGACTCTATAACAGACAATATACCTTGTTTGAGTCTTTGATATTTATCAAAGCTTGTGACTGTAAACTGATGTCCTGAACAGACATGAGGGACTCCTGCCTTGAACTCTTCACAGGAAGAGTTCTCTGAATAACAGAAAAATGTTAAGCATCTGTGTTTCTGTAACTTGGCAAACACAAATAAAAATCCAAGCAACAACACGTACAGAAGAACCCATTCTGTTTCCAAGGCGAGGAGCAGGGGCATTTGATTTTCCCAACTTCAAGCTGTTTTTGGTTGAGAGCCCAGTTGACATAGTTTTGCCTGATTCAAATGATTCTGAACACAAACAAACAATTCCGATGTCAACCAAAAAATGTGGCCCCCACACACATTCACACACACACATATATATAGAGACCTTGTAAACCCCCATGTGGTTTTAGCCGTTCAACGACGACAGCTAAAGCAGGTCCCTGGATATCTCTCAAATGCTTTGTCACCTACAGAAGTAGAAGCAAACTCCGTATCAAACACATATATCCAGGAGCAAGGGAACACTTGCAACTAAAATACCATCTCTTGTCCGCAAATTCTCATAATTTCACCAAAGAAGACTTCAGCTGCTTTCCTAACATCAGCTGATTTATCCTATAACATAAAAATACCACAATGTTTTTATAACTTTAAAACATTGACTAAAAGTTAAATTAAGGCAAAAACAGCACAAAAGTATATTATAGACATGTGAAGGATACCGTCATAGCGGAGGCAGCAGGTTTAAGAAGAACAATTGCATCAGGAAATTCTTTCACTATGGCAAGTTGTTTGGATAACCAGTCAAAAAGATCTTTACGTCCCTCCGCACCAATTTTAGCATCCGTCAATGAAGCTGTAATATATGGTACCTAGAAAAACACCAATTGTCAAGTTGCTAAAAAAATAATATCACAAGAGAAGTCCAAGATGGGGAATAGTGCAGTAACCATTGTATCTAGATGAACAGCAGCTAGCCAAGCATCGAGTGTGCTCATAGCACACTCCCTCATGTGCTTCTTATTGTCACCAAGACATTTTAATATATCTGAGAGAATGCCCTGCAAAAAAAGAGAGACAAGCCAATCAGTCTTAATACAAATATACAAAATTTGTAAGCAAAGCATTTACCTTGCTTGACTTCTCAACTGCTGGCCCCATAGCAGATGCAACCGCACCAATTGTAGATAAAGTTGACATGATAATATTCTTATTGCTGTCATAGAGCCTGGCTCTAAGGGCACCAAACAGGTCTCCTGCAGGGGGGTAGGCAAGATGCAACTCAAATAAAGATGCATTTCTAAGCTTGTAGTTAATTTTCAAACAATGAGCACGCGCAGGCACATTTAAGCATACTTTGCCAGAGAAAGAAAGTATGTGTGTGTGAGTAATACCAGTGCCAGTAGGCTGAATGCGCTTGTTGGCCTCTTCTAAAATCTTATTTACACCTTCAATGGATTCCAATCTAATCTGAAATCAGAAACAACAGAGTATAACAAAATCTAAATTCCCAAGATCAGTTCTACATAGGATAACATATAAAATACCTTCCAATCTGAACTTTCTAAACCCTTGAGCAAAGCTGGTGTAATCTTTCCACTGATGTCTTCGCGTGGAAGACTATCTAACCCACCACTAGACACACATACAGAATCTGCTGCCTTCACTGTCCTCTTTGGTACAGAAGATGTGCCCTGCAAAAAAAAAAATTACCTACAAGAAACAAAAAAAAAGCAAGTAGAATAATGCTTAACTAAAACCAAACCTCGAATGGGTTTTTTTCATATTCTGCATCAAGAGCACTTAGAAGAGCTGGCTTTACATCCGATAAGAATCCCTTGATATCTATAAAGATGTAAGCCGCATTTCAGGCATTGTGAGAAAACATAACCAATGTCAAGAAGTTCTAAAAATAGAAAAGTTACCTGGGCCAACAAACTTGTGTAGGACACCAATAAGTTTAATTGTTGCATTTCGCGTGGCAGCAGCACTGGATTGTAAGCCAACATCCTTGCAAAAATCAATCACATCCTGTTGAAAAAACAAAAAGTTTCATACCACATTAATTTTTCTTCATCATTGAAATGAAACTAGAGCACAATACTCTTCCTCTCATTAAGAATTATTAGGGAAAATATTACCTTGAGTTTTAGGTGTGAAACACCAAAATCCTCAATTGTTGTGACCATCCACAGCAAGCCTTCACTAAGAACTTTAGGATTCTTGTGCTCTTTCATGATCTTGGTAAGCTATAAAATATAAATAATAAAATATATATATTAAATATGAAAGATCCCATCGAGGCCATGTTGTTTTGGGTTGGAAAAAAGGAGATAAAGTTGGAAAGAATTGGAAGAAGTTGGAAAAAACTAGAACTAGAAGAGCTAGAAGGAGTTGGAAAGAGCTAAAAAAGGTTGAAAGGAGTTGGAAATTAATGCTACCTTCATCCCCGACTATTCATCAAATTTGGCTTTTCCAAACAGGACAAACTTTGATCGTCAATTAAATAATAAAAATTTTTGCATTAAAATGTTGAAATAATTTTTAGAAATCTTTTTGCAAGTTAAATCTAATGAAATCATTTTTGTATGAATTGTGCATTTGTGCTATGCCCCCGATCCCTATAGAGCGGAAGAGCTGCCTTGGAGATCCCTAGGTTGCAGCACGTCCAGTCGTGAACTCCTCCCGTTGCTGCCACCGTTTCTAGGGCCGACTGACGCCTCACCTGCACGGGTACCTACACAGTTTATTGCCGGTCGCACACTCAACATAGCATTCGGACTCATATGCCTTCCAGAACCAGGGGTCTTTGAGCCTGCTGCGTACAATTGGCCATCTTTGCGATGGAAAAAGGATTACACGTCCCCCCATGCTACGGTTCCTTGAGGTCCAACCCCGGTGCCGCATTAGGTTAGGGAGTTGGAAGATAATAGCTCCTCTCTAATTTGAATGAGTTGAACATAGTGAAACGAACGAGTGACTATGTGAAACGTACGTTGGTCGAACGAGTTTCACTATGTGAAATGAATCTTCAATAATATTTGTGCTCCACAAAGTAGATTTGTGCTCACGGCTCACCAACAAATCAATGAAGATTTGAAGAAGATTTGTGCTCACCAACAGTAAATCAAGGAAAATTGTTGTCGATGGTAAATCATGTATTGAGAGGCTAGTATGATTTGCAAGGGTATATATGTCATTGTAACACATATTACCTTAACAGAACATGATAAGTGGACAAATACACTAGGACATCCAAAAAGGCAAAGCGGAATACTAGACGAACACACCGGAACAGAGGGAATATTAATTGGGAGGGAAGTAGACATATTTAGTAGTACATATTATAGGGAAGATATTAAACATTGTAAACAAATCTAAATCGTCTAATATAGGACAATTGGATGGATTAGAATTCTATGGAACTAAAAGAAGTACAATCTAAATTTTTCTCTTACTATGTACGAATTAATTAATTTTAAAAATATGAACTATACCATTATTACTTTGATAATAATAATAATAATAATAATATGTTTATTGACAATAAACTATATTATATATTTTCTTTCTTTTTTGATGTTTATTGTTAATTTTCATTTAGGGGCCAAATCAATCCAAATTTAACTGTTCATCCATAAAATAATTAAAAAAAATATTGTTGTTCACACGTGTGCGCACAAACACACATATGATTATTGTAATTAATTTCTGATTCATGAAATTTACGGATAGGAGTTTGGACGAGTTTGAAGAAACTAGAAAGAGTTGAAAGAAATTTGATGGAGAGTGCAGAGTAAGAAAAAACATGAAAGTGGGAAGAGTTGAAGTTTAAAATTCCAAATCAAAATAAAAAGGCCTCAGTGTTATTCTGGATTGAAAAAAAACACTAACAATCCATTAATCAAAAGAAAATCAAGCTTACCCTCTCAAAAATAAATCCCGGGCCAACAGCTTCACAAAAAGTAGTAAGGCATTTCATGGATTGAGCACGTGTCTTGATGTCAGCAACTCTTTCAGTGATACCTGCAAGCATGGCATGCAAAACCATGAGATAAAGAACACGGAACAAAAAAAGTAGTAAAGAGAAAAGATTTAAAATTGACCTTGGAGGCAAAGTACAACACACTTTTTAGGAAACTTTGATGCTGTTGAAGCTATATGGGAAATAACATCGATGACATGCTGCTGGACCTGTAGTTTTACCGGTAGGAGTGAGATCATATGTATTAGAATGCAACTAGAGAGACAAAAGGTGCTGTTTGGTATGCAAAAACTAGTCAGAATGAAACCACAATTAATTCAATATCTGTTTTGGTGTTTTCTCTGTCCTTTCTATATAAACAATGATCCTTAAAGAACCTCAACTAAATGCACCACATTTTAAAATTTTGCTGCATAGAAGGAAGACAAGGAACACCGCGAATACAATGAAATGAAATGAATGTATCAATCAATTTGATTTTCCATCTTTTTGAAAATTAGTCAATCTGTTTGCATCCCAATGCACAATTGCACAGGAAAGGCAAGTTTTTTGCTAAAAAAGCTAAAAATGGTATACCTGCACATTTTTTTCATTCCATCCAGGCACAGAAGATAGCAAACGAATCAAAATCTCTACTGATGGATCAAGTTCTTTAAGTGCTTCAACCTGCTCTTTAAATGACACGATAGCTGCAAAGACAATAGAAGTTAACAATGCAGAAAAATAAACTGACAAAACCTAGTGTTTAATTTTGGTGAGGCGTATAACATTTTTAGAACAACAACCCAGTTGAATCCCACAAGGTCTGGGGATGTATAACATTTTTGGAATAGGATTTGAAAAAGACATTCAAATGTGTGCATATGTGATGATGAAATAATAGAATTTGAAGAATATTACAACCTTCAACCCTCTCTTTCCATACTGCACTCTTCAACATAGAAATTGTGTCTGGCTGTATAAGGGAACCTAGTTTGCTCTCAATCTGTTCAAGACTCATATCTTCTGGCTGTGGTAAAAAAATTTAAAATAAGGCAAATAACAAAAAGTATTCTGAAATGAAAAGCATTTTTAAAATCAACAACAATTTGGTACATATTAAGAGAGTACAAAACAAACACAGTGAGAAACAAATGCAAGAAAATATTAATTTCTTGCCTCTACATCTTCAATTTCCACAGGCTTGGATGGTTTCAACTGCCCACCTCCATCCCCTTTTTTGGCAGCTCCAGATTTTGCAGGCACTCCTTTCTTATTGATGGGCTAAAAACATAGAAGATATGTTTCAGCAGCCCTAAGCTCTTTTCCACTTGGTTTTTTGAAAAAATTGGATTATATCAGGCTATTATAAAGTAAAACTTACAGCAGCCTGAACAGTTCTTTTCCCACTAAGCATACTAGCAGCTGACCTCCTAACAAATGATCCATCTGCTGCCTACAAATACAAACGTAGACATTGGTGATTGGCTTTGACTTGAAAACATCCAAACTTTGAAGCTGCTGATCAAGTTGCCCAACAAGCTATCAGCCTGCCACAAGGTAAATGAGCCTTCTAGATGCTCAGTCACCAAATTGCATTGAAGAATAGAAATAAATCTCAGACTAATAGGTGACAAGCACCCACGTGACTTATACTCTCACTCTTCATCCATTCTCCCCATGCGGATAGAGATAGTTGTGTATCTATATCCCAGCAAAGGATTAACATATCTCAAATCATTATTTATAATATATTCCATACCGATTCTCATTCATCCATAAGGAAACAAATTGAACGTATTAGAAACTTACAGAATGGACAACACATTAAGCACAATATATAATTACCATGGAGGAAGGTACATTTGCTCCCGAAGATGGCACTGCAGCTGGATTTATCAACTGATTAGGTATATAAGAGAAGATGTGTCTTTGCAAGAACACAATAACTCAAATTGTTTTATCTTGTCAAAGTTAAAACAAATTTCAAACCTGAGCTACCATCAGATTCACCACTAGTCCCGGCAATCATTTCAGAAAGCTTCTTCCTTCTGACATCATCAAGTTTTTCAATTGATTTTTCTAAAGGTCGCATGCCAACCAACTACAAAATGAAGTAGGTATAAAACACAATTTCACTGCATTACAAAAGTAAAAATAAGGATAAAATACTAACAGTTATACACTTCTCTCAGAAATAATACCTTAGCAATAGCTGACAAAGCAGAAAATGCGGCATCTCTAACCTCTGGTGTTCCATCATTCAGGCACTGTATCAGCAACATTTCGTAATTATAAAAAAAAACAGCAGGCATTGACAAACAATGCACTCTTTACATATATAAACAAAAAGCTAAATTCTTAGGGCACAATGAGGTATCTCAATGATAAATTTTAGTCAAAAGCATTCAAACTCAACCGATTATGTGCTTTACACTAAAGCTTTGCCCCAACTGGCCCTTGTTCAAGACCAAATCTAGTACAATATTTGGGGTAATTGGGATCCTGAGTATCCTGGGTGATAAAACCAATAGTTTAGGACAAAAAATGGAATGGGATCTTGCCCTCCCCAGAGGCCCAGACCTCAGCTTGTGAACCTTAGTGAGTTGTTTTTCTTGTAATACATGATACTGTGAAAACAGAAGTGAAATTGTATAGGAAAACAGTATTTGAGTGCCACTGGGAATATAAATCCTAGATGCATGAGAAAACAACAAATCCAGTATAATCACTACTCCATTGAGGCGTGGCGGGGTCAAGATGTACGCAACCTTACTCCTAAAAGAAAGAGAGGTTGTTTGAGTTAGACCCTTGATGAAATGCTGCATTTACTTCCCAAAACGCCATTGAAAGTAAAAACAATGAAGGTTTAAAGTGCCATTTTCCTTTTGTCCATTATTTACTTGAAGCTAAAACATTGTCGAACATGACTTGTTTAGCTCCATTGGCATGAGAGATGAATATTTTGGAATATGATTTAAAATCCATATTCTAGTTCTACACGTATAACAAAGAAAACATTGCCAACAAAGCATCAGAAGGCACCACAATACATTAAGTTCTATCAGAAGTCATTAAGGTGATAAATGCAGTAATTATAAAAGATCTCGATTACAAAAGCAGCAAAATAACATTTTAAAAATTATCTCACCTCCATACAAATTGGAACGTACTCCTTGTGAATTTTGAGAATAATAGCCTTGCTGCTTGTTTCAATACAAATTGTCACCCAGTTCAATGTCAAAGATCTAACAAGTGGAACTTTATTCTTTGTTGCTGCCTTAATATCTGCAACAAATAACAACATTTCAAGACTCTTTCAATTATCATGGACTTGAAGCCTACTAGTCTACTGCAAAAAATTGGTGACAAAATATTTGATTGCAAGCTTGCATTTTTCATTTCTTCACAAAAATGAAAAGTGCAAATCACATTACTAATTAATTAAATCTCAGCACTCATAGTGGGGTCAGTTAACAGCATATACAACATAACACAATGAATTTCTCAATTTATAGCATTGTACGTGCTTCCTTAGGTAATCACCCGAAGTATGATTCACAAATTATGAACAAAGACCCTACCTTCAACGATTTCTGAGAGATTTAAGCAGCCAGACTTGTGCATTGCCTGAAGTGTTTGAGTAAGTGACTCTGTTAAAGCAGGCTTTTTCTCTTTCAATTTTTCCTGTTAAAAAAATGTGAGGAAATAAAAACATCAGGGAATTAGGAAATTTAATGTTGTAGCAAGCAGCAACAGGATCTGAACACCCTATCTTTAGTGTTAGAGCTTTAAAATAAGATTTCACATGTTTATAAACTACACAATTTCATCTTTTCTTATACACCATGATAACACAAATGAAAAGTTTAATTTTGGATGAAGTAAAAATATCTTTGTTGAGGTTTATCAACGAAAACAAACAAGTAGAAGTGAGGAAGTAACTTTTATTTATATAATTACTTTCTGTAATCACATGGACACCACCTTTGAAGTCGCATGATTGACTTAGGGCATGTTCTTTAAGTCCTAACTTTACCTAGAGTCGGGAGTGTAGAGTCTGAGTATGGTGATGGAGACTGGAGATTAGAGTTGGGAACTCAGGATACTGTTCTTTTACAAAGTTCTCAAATCTGCAAACTAGAACCAATTGGAGTCTAGCTAAATGGAATTAAGGGGGTGTTTCTGTGTAATGGTGCTTATTGATTTATTGTTGATAAGTAGTTTTTAACTAATAAGCTAAAAAAAAATTTGTGTAGATATACTAGATAAAATGATATACAAGTCATTTAGGGATATTCATAATAGATGAAGGATAGTTTTGTAAATAATCTGGTCAAAACAGAGAAATAAAAAATTGGCTTAAAAATAAGTAGATAAGACCTACTTTTTTGGCTTATAAACAGTTTATAAGTTAGCGTATAAGCAGTTTTGATCAGCTTATAAGCACATAGAAATACCCACTAAATGTTGAATAAAACGGCACCTTATAATTATGTAGTAGAACAACATGCCTTGGTGCCATGGCTAGTGTTTTTTATTTAACTTCATGCATCAACATTAGTGCACATAACTTACTCCCCCTATTTCATAATAGTTTTCATAACCTATATTCACAAGACCAAACCACATTTTCTTTCATTTCATTTTTTCATTGATCATTTTTTCATTGATCATTTGATAAGATATGTAGTAAAATAGTTGATCACATCTTGTTTTGTATGACTCTATATGTAGTTTCAAAATATATAAATTTATTTTTTAATTCTACACTAATTTGTAAATAAATTAAATTGAGAACTTCTTCGGGTAAACCAAATCATGAACAATATATAGGAACATAATATCATATACCACTTAATTTGGTTGATAGCTTTTGTGAGAAAAAAATTAATCACATCAATAATATTTATTTTGCGTTACAAAGATTTTTATTAAAAGAAAGTCTAGGATCCAAAAAATGTTCTAGTAACTCCATGTCTACATCAACATTAATGCAAATGATTAACTCCCCCTTTCCCTTAAAAAACTTCACATTTAGGTTTACCGTGTATGACCGAATATATTTTGAATTCAATACCGAAAATATTGGTGTAAAATTTAGAAAAAATACATATTTAAAAACTACATCAAAATTTCTACGAGACAAGTGGTGACAAGACTATCTTACTAGTATAACAAACATAACAAAGGATTAAAATAAAAAAGTAAAGAAAGATGATATAGTTTGACATTGTGAATAATGCAGTGAAGTTTATTTAGGAACAGATGGAGTATCAATACTTTTGGCTTTCTTTTTAATTCTTCATAGGGCTTTATAAAATATAATTCAAACATTCCCCTATGGCTCAGCAAAAAAGGGAAAGAAAACAAAGAAGAAGTACATTTAACACACAAAAAAGAGGCAAGGATAATTTTCTTGGAAGTCAAATAGAATTAGACCTTGTTGATAGCACTTTTGCAATATTAAAGCAGCATATAAGGGGGGTAAGAATGAAAGACGTTTACAAAAGGTGAAAGAACAAAATAGAAACACAGAATAAACTAAATCTAAGCACATGCACATTAAAGGTAAGGGAAACATGCTCCCTTAAAATGGAAATGCAGCAGGGCATAATGTTGCATATCCAAACATGCATTATGTTATATAATTATAAAATCTAAATTGCAAAACTTGCCAGTAAAACAGGTAGCAGGAACCGTGAACTCCCTGAAAAATGGGTTCTTAGTCCTCTAGCAAGATTCCCAATTGCTTGTATGGATTCAACAGCTACAGCAATGTTCACATCAGTGATGAGCTGCAATGTAATAAAACAGGCACTATTACTTGCATAGTAATCACACCACAACATGGCAAAGTATAGAAAGAAAAATGTAAAATGCACAGGTAGAATAAGCACAGTTCTGAACAAAAAATGCATCAATTAATTGTTGATATAATAAATGCCATTTTAAATAGTTCAGACGAGAGATGAACAATCAATTAACATGCCTTCTTCAATGTGCGGCAAATTTCTGAAAAATCCCCAGGTGCTATTCTCTTTGTTGAAGCAAGCTTTGTTAACTCTGCAACAGCATCCTTTCGCTCTGACCACTTAGCAGCTTTCTGTATACAAAAAAGTAACATAAAGGTGGATTACAGGACAAAAAATATGAATGATGCAGTTAAGTAATAGCCATCTATCAGTTGCTCAAAAGCACAAAAAGTTGCAATAGAGCACATACCACTCCATCCCAAAAACCAGACTTCTCAAGAGGAGTCAAAATATCAACAGGATCAACAAGTTCATATTCATCTATTTCCTGTGGAGCTGACAAAAAATAGAAGGTTTCAGGTCCAAAAACTCAAATATCACACACCATGTCACCTATAATGGCTTTAAGGATAATTATTCTACTTTGGGCCAACCCGCATTAATCTCAAACAAAATAGAGATGATTGTTCATAGTAGTTACATACTGTCAGCAGCTGATTCTTCGGAAGGACCAGAGCAAGCTATCTCTGGGACAGTATCCTGTTCTGGCACCTTGTCTTGCTCAGATCTGCCAAAGAATAACCAGAAGTCCAAAACTTATAAAGAGGTTTAGGTACTTCACATTGCAGGAAAAAAAGTCCTGGAAACAAATCATCGATGCAAGTGTTATACCTTATTTTGCGAGTTGGCTTTGCAGTCCCAGTAACATTAACAAGCTCAGCCTCCAGTTCTTTTTTCTTATAATAGAAAAAAACATCATACGAATCAGCCAAACACAATCATGTGCGATAAGCTACAAAATTCAGATGGCAAGCAGCATACCATCGTATCGCGCATTTTTTCAAAGAGTATAGATTTCACTGGATCTTTCCCAATCCATCGACAAAGTTCCAATGTTAGGCCCTTAGAACAAGCTCGAACATTCTGATCCTGATGATCAAATAATTCAGGAAGCATCTTCAAGATTCTCTTTGGTGGGATAACCTTTGAACCAAATTCACTGCTCATTATTGAGAAAGTGTTATAGAAATTCAAATCATCAAATTAAAAATAACAGGTAAAACACAGGAGCAGATTTCAGTGGACCTTAAGGCCTGAAACATGACGTCTATGGCAGGTACAACAGCTTTTGCGACTTTGTTCTTAATTGCTTTCTCCATAGCATCCTACAATGTAGCAGATTGATATGTAACATAAACTATTGATATATACCACAACAATGGAACAAACTTATTTTCCAATAAACAAGACCATCCTCACTTCACATGTTTTTAATCCGTAAACTATCCAACAAGCTTTTTAGTTGCAAGTTATTCCTACACAACAACAACCTAGATAATCCCAACACTGTTGGGGCAAGGTAGTCAAACTCATGAAATGACTCGTAGAGTCGTGCGGTTCCACAAGATCGCTAAGAAGAATCACAATTTCAACGAGATCACTAGGGATGCCACTCAGGAATCAGGGAAAGGTTGTTGAATCAGTAGGATCAGTCCAGCTCGTATAATTTAGAAAATTACATGACTGCAAGTCTGCAACAAAAACATGCCGGATATTCAAAAAGTCATGATTCTTCCTTTTCAAATTGTGCCTCTACCACTTCTAGTGTGTGATTTATAATACTCATACGTCTTCTACCTTCTACTCCTTCCACTACAACCTGCAAAACCATACACCTCTCTGCATATATAAACCTTCAGATTTACTCCCTTGTCAAAAAATAGTTGAAATTGTCTCTGATTCTTTCTTATGTAGATTCAGGTACCTGTATATCTGTTTCCCTCGTATTATACTACTATTCTTCTATTTATTTAGGTTCTCCCGTTCTTCTGAATACTCCAGACTTCAACCTAACTTCTTCAATTTACACAGTTTATAATTATTCTTCTACGTTTTAAACTTAACATAAATGCTTTATTTACATATGATTAATGAATGATATTCCATAAAAATATCTTCAAGTATGTGTGTGTGTGTGAATACATATGTAGGTTCTTACAATCTGTGTTACGATCATATGGTTTACAATCTTTTATTGCTATTCCGATCCTACATGGAATCTCGAGTTTGACTACCTTGCATTGGGGTCCAGGGTCAAGTCATTCTTACAATACAGCAATAGATAACAAAATTGATTTGGACACAATGTGGCAGCCCAAATTATCACTCTAGTGAAGCAAACCCATTTATTGGCCTTACTAATGCTTCACCAAAATCAAAAATTGTTGTCGAAACTTAGTTGAAAAGCTAAACTCGCACAGGATTAAGAATCTCTTTTTGAACAAAAATATTAGGAATCCAATTGAGCTCCTCTTCAAAGATTCTAGAAACTTCATTGCATGAAACTAATGCAATTAACAGTCAGACACTTCATCACATAAAACTTTTACACAATGAGAATTGTGTAGGGAAAAATCACAGCACTTGATAATAATTACCAGGAATGATTCCACCGCCTCTAACTCTACCCAAAGCATGAAAATTGCTTGTGCCTTCTCTACAGTCTTTGGCCTCCCCGTCAGGCACTTGGCCACAATTGCGTCGCAAACTTCTTTGGCATACCTGTCAAACCAAGAACATTTCAATATCATTTGCATTGCCACTTGAGTTACCCGTGGCTCATTGATAAATTAATTCATAAATAACCTTCCAGCATCAGCATCAGCTGCTTTCAAGTAAGAAATCAGCGCATCAAGTGCCTTCTCTTGAACAGGCGCATTTGAATCAGACACCATCTTCTTAAACAACGGTCCTACAATTGAAATGATCCCATGTTTTCGAAAATTAAGACCAGAACAGCAAATGTCGCCACGTTGCATGCAAATATTCGCATGAATAATAACAAAGTCTGGATAAAAACAGATCAAACGGAATCGTAACCCTAAACTTACCGAATTCACGCAAACGAGGGTCCTTTGGATCGGTGATGGAATCAAACACCGCAGCTAGGTCGATGTTGGCGTCGTTCCGCACCTTCCAGTTCTTGTGCAGCAACCGGTCATCCCACGGAAGCTTCTTCGCCTCCTTCAACAACTTATCATCCTCCGACATTGCAAAAATCTATCGATGCGTGTATTAATATATTCTTCTAAAACGCCTAGATGTAACCCTTATGCGTCTCAAAACTATCCTCTTCTCCGATCTCTGTAAGAGAGATAGAGAGGAAATGGATAGGGTGAAGAATGACGGCGTCGGTGAATCTCAGGTTTTAAATTTCAGCCGCTCGCCGGCGAGTTTGGCTGGGAGAGGGCTGAGGGAGAGTGATGGGGTTTCCTTTTTCTTTTTTTCTTTTTCAAAAATTTTGGGTTTGTAGGTAGGGGCCGACAGAGATGCTTATTTGAATTATGCGTTTTAAATCACTTGGAGAACCACTCTCGTTAGAAGCGCGTGAACGTCGTGCTGCGAGAAGCTCCAACACTGTTGTAATGGGAATATTTCAAAAAAAAAATTAAGATGAATTTGAAATTTCTACTTGAGTGATGCTGATGCTGATGCATATCTGGTTTTCATGCAGAAAATTACTCGCGGGTGACGTGAGTTTTGTCGAAATAACTTTCAGGTTCCTCTATTTTCAAAAAGACAACCGAGGTCCTTATATTTTGTTGTAATGACTGGGAGGAGACATTTCATCCAATATATCATCCGTAAGTGTTAATAAATGTATTGTTTTCTATTTTTCCAATACCGTTTTTTCCTATTTTGCCATTACCTTGTTTTTTCTTTTTTTAAATTTTTTTATTTTATTTGTTTTAATATAATACAAACAATTTTTAATTTTTATACGATTTTATAGAAGAAATTCTAAAATAACACTTTAAAAAATAGTAACAAAATGAAAGAAAAACAAAGAAATAAAAAAAGGAGCGACCTAAGATTTATTACCTAAAAACATTTAGAAAAGAATAGGAAAAATACATTTATTAACGTTTATAGATGAAATATTGGATTAAATGTCCCCTTCCAGTCATTACAACAAAATATAAGGACCTCTGCTGTCTTCTTGAAAATAGAGGGACCTCAGAATTATTTCAACAAAACTCGCGTCACCCGTGAGTAATTTTCTGGTTTTCATGTACGAATTCAAAATATGGATCTTAGCTTACTGTCATACATCAAATAAGGTTTTATAATTAATCAAAATATTATATTTAATTTGGAAATAATATTAATATTGATTTATAGTTGAAAAGTAGCAAAATCAGATTTTCGAGTGCAGAATAGTCCGTGATGGTCGACTGTTACCCTGTGACGATCGATCGTTATTGCCACCGTACTATTGGCCTTGCAACGGTCGATCGTTACTGTGCGGCGATCGACCGTTACTAATAACACAATACTACTTGTGAGACGATCGACCGTACCTTGGAACGATCGATCGTTCTGCGACTGGTTCGAGAAATTGCACAATATTGTGTCTTCAACCTAAGTTCAAATTTCTAAAATATCATTTTAAGATACCAAACTTTAATTTGACTATATAAAAATGTTCTCTAGTATCCTAGATCATTTTTAAACCATTTATTCTAAACTTTAACAACAATTTGAAGGTTTTTTGTTCTTGATTCATGAAAAACATATTTTGATCTTTTCTACTCCCACCGTCCCAAATTATAATGCATGTTCACTATTCACATGGTCAAACTTCATTCACTTTCTATCTCTATTTTCGTTAGCAATTTGATAAAATAAAGTACTATTGTCACCACTAGTTTTGTAGATCTTTTGATGTAGTATTTTAATATGTAATACCTCCGTCCTAGAATATTTGTCCACTTTCATTTTTACACACCATCCAATACACTTCTTTAATCCATTTTATCTTGTAATTTGTTTATTAAAAAATTATAGAAATTATATATTAATAATCTATATGCTAAGACAAATGAAACGAGATCACACATGACTATATTTAGACTTACACATTGAGAGAATTTGATGAGTCAAAGTGCTTAGATGAACAGTTCCAAAAGTCAAAACAGGACGAATACTCCGGGGCGGAGGGAAAATTTTTTTTAACTCTATACCATTTGTCATATAAAATTATTTGAAAATAATTTCAGTCAAACATCGTAAACCGAAACAGACACTATAAATTGGGACGAAGGGAGTAACATATAATTCAACCAAATGACTATTTATGAACGTAAAAACGATCTATATGAACATTCTAATCATTAGATATATTTAGGCGCTCACCTCGAGCTTAAACAACGATAATAGAAATTTTGCTGCGAAATTTCTGGCGACTACCACGGCGATTCCGACAAGGGAGAAATACGAAAATAGCACTTTAATAACCTTATAATACTCAAAATAGCAGTGCTATTAGTTTTTGGGATGAATTCACGTTTTTGTCCTTAAATAAACTCCCAAAATTAGAATTATACTGCAACGTATACTCTTCGCTGCCACATTATAAATAAGTATGAAATGCTCTGCTCTTCACTGCCACAATATGTTTGAGATTGAATTTAGTGCCCTAACACATACAACACTGCCAAAAAAAAAGCAGAATTCATTTTAAGCCGTGACCTTTTTATTTTTTATGGTAATTATACACTGCAATATATATACTCTCTACACTGCCACAATATGTACTTCCAAAAATTCAATGTCTGAAATACACTGCCACAATATATACACTGCCAAAAATTCAATGTCTGAAATACACTGCCACAATATATCTACACTGCCACAAAACACAATAATTAAAACTAAAAATAAGCGAGATCCGAATAAAAGGATGCAAGACAAAATTTTAACATTTAATCTTCACACTGCCCACACCATAACACCTAATGTTCACACTGCCAAAATCACAATGCCTTTCAAAAGACCTAATTTTTCAAAAGGGACAAACACTTGGTATTTCAAAATTGATTTCACAATACCTAATCTTCAATATGAAGAAAACACAATAATTAATGCTAAAAATACAGGGAAATCCGAATAAAAGGATGAAGGAATGAAAATTAAAAATTGAAGGAGAAGAGAAAATGATTAGCGACATCAAAGATTAGCATGTGAGAGAACCTGATGATTGCCGCTGCTGATCGACCAAGGAATCGTGGGCGAAGGACTGAGGATGCATCATCGCCGGCGAACGGAAGGAGAGACCGTGGAGTTCAATAGCGTGCGGGAGAACGGAAGAAGAGATTGGAGTTGAATGCTGTAATTTTTAATGAAAAAAACAGAAAAAGGGGTAAAGGGTATGATAGGAAAGGATTGACACCATAAATTGCTAAGTTTGTTAAAAACAATGAGTAGTGCTAAATGCGTAATTTAGGGTGAGTTAGAGTGCTATGTAGGGTGATTTCTTTTTCGACAACAGAGAACTACTGCGTTATGCTCTCCACACTCTCATGAACACAGAAAAGAGAAAGAATAGTGCAAGAATGAGGGAGAATAAGACTCCCTTATATAGGTGAAGATGGAGGATGAAGCCTCGACAATGCTAATCTTCAATCGGCGATTCCCTGCGACTAAGTGCGTTTCTGAAGAATTTTATACGTCTCTTCTCTATTTGGGACTAAAATGGTCTCAACCAAGATATACTTTTTTGTCTAACTTTCTCTGAATTGAAATCCGATTGCACCGTTGCGATCAGACAATCAAACTCTATACAACTGTATAATTTTTAAAATTAATTAACAAATTTTATAAATCACTTATGTTTAGATTCAACTCACTAACTCAATAATTATCAATTAATTCCGATAGGCCTATTTTCGGGACATTACATATATAATTTGTGAAATACTCCCTCCGTTCCTCGGTTTTTGTCGACTTTGAAATTGGCACTCTTACCAAGGTGAGGAGCAAAATGACAAAGTTAGTTGCTACATAACCATCTCCCACCTACAAGCGTCATCCTCCCACCCCTTCGATACCAACCATCCACATCCTACAAGCGTCATCCTCGGAGCTCAAGAAAAACACTACGACAAAGTTAGCTGCTACATAACCATCTCGCTGCTACCAATATCACTGCACATAGATTGGAGAACTGAGAAAGGAGGAAGGAGAATCAAAAGAAGTATGGGTTTTTAATCCAGATGGCGATGACTATTTTCGGTTCAGGCATCCTTGACGGAGGACGACATCGATAGTGTTTGTGCTGAGGTCTGAGGACGAGACAAAGTGTGCCGCCTCATGTGTTTGATTTGCTCCAGGTAGGTGCAATTGGATTTTAAAGACGAGATAGAGATGAAATTGGGAATCGGAGATTTATGCAATTGAATTAAAAAAAGGTGAGTGCAAATCAATTTTTGAGTGCAAATCAATTTTTGAATCCAAAAATATTCACAGTGCAAATATGTTCATGGAGATAGAGATGAGAGGGCGAGGGTCAAAGGAGAAAGACAAATTTGTTTTTTGAGGGCAAATTAGACTTTTTACTTTGTTTTCCTTACTTAAAAAGGAAAGTAGACAAATACTGCAGGACGGCCCAAAAAAGAATATTGGACAATACTCAGGGACGGAGGGAGTACTTTTCTATTTCTATTGCAATTTATAGATAGTGTAATTTTTTTTCAAGAAAAAAATTGATTTTACACATTATTCAAAAAGTGTAAATGAATTAGAGAGAGATACACTACAGGCCTAATTTGACACAAACAGGAACAGAGAGATACACCATAGGCCTCCTTAATCTCCACATAAAAGGCATAAGTACTCGTATTACAATATTTTTACTCCGCACATATTCCCTTTTCACATTTTATAAGAGTAACGCGTCACGTAACTATTGTAACATGACCCAACCATTTTAACCCCCAAGCCAAGAACATCTGAATAAATAATAATAATAATAATAATTTATAACACAAGGATAGTTCAAAAAAATAAAAATAAATAATAATAATAATAACAACAAAAGGAAATGGAAGCAAGTGTTTTCATTCAGCACAGACCTTAAAAGAGCAAACAGCAGAAGACAGAGCATCATCCCCTTCTTTCTCTCTTCATCACACAATATGTTGGGCAAGGCTGAGAATCTTGAGGTGCTTCTTTCTCCTGAGCTCATGCGGGACCGGACCCATAACGCGGGTCCCGATTGGCTCGCCTTGCTTGTTGATAAGAACGACGGCGTTGTCGTCGAACTTGACCTCACTCCCGTCGCAACGGCCCCTCGGCATTGCGGCGCGGACAACCACGCCGTAATGGACTTCTCCTTTCTTCACTTTCCCGCCTGCCTGTGCTTCCTTGACCGAGCAAACTATCGTGTCGCCCAACCTCGCCCCTTTCTTTCCCTTCAAAGCTTGTATGCACATCACTCTCTTTGCGCCTGAATTGTCCACCACTTTAAGGCTGGTCCTCATTTGTATGAATGTCCTCATTTGCTGAAGTATACATCATAATCAAGCAATTTAACTCACAACAACAACAAGCCCATTGCAAATCCCCCAAAAAAGTAGGGTCCAGGAAAAGTTGTGTGTAGGCAGATCTTTTACCCCTAATCAATAGTAAAAAGGTTTTTTCTACTCCCTCCGTTCACCAAAACAGTCTCTATTTTGGCTAATAGGAGAAATAAGAAGTGTATTTGTAATTGACTTTCTAATTTTGACCTTGATGTGATGGATAAAAGTAATATGTGATGGGTAGATTATTACTGAAAAAGTATAATGTGATAGGTAGGGTTAGAATTAATAGGGGCTTAAGTAGTTATGCCTTTGTATCAATTACACAACAACACAATGATTTGCAAGGAATTATGGATCGGGCAGAGATTTTTCAATCAATTTCTGGTAATTTACTAAAATTTTGTTTGAACTTGTAGTAGACTAAAGGTATTAATAAAATCTGATTCGGTGCACCGAAACTTGACCAAACCTGGCCCTAATAGCCAAACGTTTAGCGATTTGGATTTTCAATGCCTAAATAATAACACCCAGACTTTCCATTGGTTCCACTTTGGGCCTCGGGTCAAAACAGAACCCGACCCACATACCCAAGTAAGTGCTATGTTATTATAAATTTCTGCCAATTATCAGCACTAGCAATGAACACACAAAACCCCAACAATTATGCAACAATAGGGCAGACTTGCCTGTGTGTATAGATCGTTTGATATAATCTCATGTGATGCTCTCATGAACCCAGCAGAGTTGTTACGGAGGTTCCCCAATAATGAGTAGCCCGCTAAAGTAGTTATGTCACACGTAAAAACCGTAAGTAATAAGCATGTAGATAATTAGTGAAAACTAAAAAGAGAATGAATAATTGAGAACGGTGTATTCGGATGGACGAATTGGGAATTTGGGAGTGTTAGTGGGTGGGTGAGGGAGGGTTGAGGATTATGTCTATATCTTGAGCAATATAATGCTCTCAAACAAACAAATGATGGTTGAAATGAATATGATCACCTATTGAGCTATTCCTTCATTAAATGTTTTTAAAAAATTCAAACATAAATAAAACGTCAAAATGTAGACTTAGCCCTTCAAAAACCCATCCCTTCCTAAGCTCTCCATCCAAACACACCCTAAATAACTGCAAGAGCAATGACGAAGAATCTGTCAATTAAAAGTGCCATCTCTCTTACCATGGAGCAATCTTGAAGATGATGATGTCATCACTAGACACCCGATAAACCTTGTAAGACCCTTAGTTTCTCCCCTGTAAAAGAGATGCATTGATGAGACCCCTAATATCAAATAAATAAATAATAATAACATCGGAGCATAAAAGTTGAAAATAAATGTGTGGACCAAAAGAAATTGACGACCTACAATTAAGCATAAATGTGTGTTAAAATTTAAAACATCTAAGGAAAAGAAAAGTTAGAGCCTGCTTGGGAACTTGGAAACTGTTTTCTCGAAAATGATTAACTATTCAAAAATCAGATTAATTTCTTGCTGTTTGGCTTGAAGTTGAAAGACTCTGCTTTATCTATTTAGTTCAATTTCCAGAAAATGAACATGCTTTGACATGATTCAATGATGCAGTTATGTTCAAATTTGCAAATCTAATACCTGCCGATTAAATAACTATTGAAATACAGATACACATAACTGTTTATTATCTATCATCTACTTACACTAGAGAATAAAGCAAGGACTGGGGAGGGTGTGGACATTACACCTACTCCAAAACTGAGGTGTTTGATGATAAAAACCAGCATTCAAATCACTTCGTTGCACATAAGAGCAAGCTTGAAGAGCAATCCTTCTAACCCACAACCCTCACACTTAAGAACTATCATTCTCTCATCCAAAAACTTTTTAAGCATGACATTCAACATGGATATTTGGAATGGAGAGCTCAATATGCAATGTTTCAAGGTCACTATATGATGTCATGATGCATTGAATAAATTGAAAACAAAAGGGAATGATCAAGCCTCAATTTTAAGCTAAACTTTGCACTAAAAGTGCATAGATCAGATCTGAATTTTTGTTCCTGTTGTTTTCAAGTCAAACCTCAATCATACAGTCAAACAAAACTTTGCAAATTCTATCAAGTCAAACTTTGGATTTTTTAGAATAAAAATCAGCAACTAAAAACAAAGAAAGAAAGCTCTCCCCGGCAACGGCACCAAAATTCGTTGGCCAATTGTCAGTTGGCTACAAATTAACCTATTTTCTAACTACAGTACACTAATAAAAAAAGAACATTATAGTGGCAAGTAGGGTCATTCTTCTACAGGGAGAGTGTTTTCTTTATTTTAAGCTGTTAATCACACAACACATGCACACGGGGGGAGGGGGGGTTGCATATTTCGAGACTAGACTATTGAATAAAGAAAACAACTACACTATGAAATAAAAGCAGAAAGATGAATCAAATAGCAGAAAACAGAGAAGGGAGAGCTGGGAGTGGGAAGATGTTTGATTTAATCATGGTTAAACACTCTACCAAACACAAGCAATCAATGAAAGTATTCAGCCTTGCCATACTAGAGCAAACTGAAGACCAATACACACCCCCAGCAGGCATGCACTTAGTCCCTATTCACAAATAAGTAGTCTACTAGGCGCAGCGCCCAACAAACTCTATTTCTAAGGTGCTTACCTAGAATGAGGCTAGAGGAATCAGCTAAGAAATGCAATGAATACAGAGAACATCATTTGCCCTGAGATGAACAACCAACCATGTTAAAGGATTTAAACGAGTTTGCCAAAAATCAAGAACATAGGCCATAGGCCTTTGTGATATAGGTTTGACATCAAATAAAGTGTCTAGATCCAGTGACAATCACGTAACCAAGCCATGGGACAGTCTAGCACTCAAAACCCATGCATTAGTTAAGGAATAAACCCTAATTGAATCAAACATGAACAAATTATTCAGACCTCATCATCGCGAAATGACAATAACCGATCACAAACTCAGCATTGATAATTTCAAACAATGTATTATCAATTTCGAGCCCAAATCCAGACTGAAATTGCAATATCGAATATGAACAGTGACAACGAGAAATAAATCCAGCAATACAGCACAATCAGATTCCGAAATTATCTATAGACAATCCACAAATTCAAATACGAGCTTCGAAATGATAGAATAGGGACTGTTACCAAAGGTTGAGATTGGACTGTGTTGAATCGTTACAATGATTGAATACCTGGTTCTTATTTTCTGTGCGGTGTTGTGCGTGCCGTGTCACTCGCCGGCGAAAGCTGATGGCGGTGGGTTCTCCGATAAAAAAAACCCTGGTCTCGCGTCTCCCTTTACCAGGCGCTTGAAATCGCCGGATGTGGAGGTCAAACGAAGGTCCTCCGGTCAGCGCCTAGTCTTGTTTTGTAAAAAGGGATGGGCCGTTTATTTTGGGCCCGGTATTTGACCGGGATCAATTCTAATTTTAACCCAAATATTATGGTCGTTTGGTAATTGGTATACGTAATTGGGAAAATTGGAATTGAATTGAGAATTGAAATTCTATGGAATTTATTTGGATGAAATTGAGTTTTCAAATTTTAATACATTTTTGGCAATATCAGTTCCAAATTCATATATTTTTGTGCTACCAAATAACAGATTTAGAATTATTGTCTCAAATTTTCATTCCATAGTTTGAATTCTGTGTACCAAACGAAATCTTAAAATTAGTAAAAAAAAAATTAAGCATAACCCAAAATTAATGAATTGCCACAATTCATTGGAAAACAAACTAATTTGACACATATGAGTGAAATGACATCCAAATAAGACTGTAAATGGCAAGAAAAATTAGAACTAAATTGAAGCCCAACACTTGTATATTCTTGATATTTACAAACTTGGTATTATTTATGAAAGAAAACCCATTAAGGCTCCGTTACGTTCAACTTATTTTTTCTGATCTGATCTTATTCTAATAAGTTCTGATCCGATCTGGTCTGATCTGATTAGATCTGATCTGATTGGATCTGATCTGATTGGATCTAATCTGATCTGATCTGTTCTGATTGGATCTGATCTGATCTAATCTGATTAATTATGATTTAATTTAAATTTTCAAATCAATAATTTAATTTGACTTTATAATAACGTTTGAAAATTGTAATGATATTTCATATTATAATATAATCAATATTTTTTATTTAATGATTATTTTTTAATAAAATAAAAATAGTTAATTTAGATATACATTAAAAAGTAATTAAATTTAGATAATCAATATATAGAAGAGATAGTATTTTTATTAAAATATCTCATCCTTGTAAAAGATCAAAAGTTTATAAACTCAAATTACAAGTAGCAATAAAAATATATTTTAAAAGTAGAATTAGATTGACATAATCAATGTATTTTAAAATTAATTTTTCCGACGTCTAATAATTCAGGATTACTTTCTCAGTTTTCTATTTAACCTATTTCTAAAGTTTATTCGTTTTCATTTTTAAGAACAATAATGATGATGATGATGATGATGATGATGATGATGATGATGATGATGATGATAATAATAATTTTTGATGGGATCTGATTTTAATAAGTCCTGATCTGATCTGATCTGATCTGATCTAATCTGATTGGATCTGATCTGATCTGATCTGATTGAATCTGACCTGATCTGATCTGAGCTGATCCGATGTGATCTGCTCTGATCTGATCTGGTCTGCTCTGATCTGGTCTGATCTGATCTGATCTAATTTTAATAAGAATAAGAAAAAATAAGAAAAAATAAGTTGAACGGAACGGGGCCTAAATAGGACTAAATCATTAGGCACGTATCCAAGATAGAAGTCCTACTCAAAATAAGAGTAGATTTCATCGCCTCACGCGCCACTCTATTGAACAATCGATCTATGCTCTCCGCTCCCTCTCCTCACTGTTACCCCAACCAATTCCCACCATCTCTCTCTCTCTATTCTGGCCACCACTATCACAATATTGAAGTGCCACCGTCAAATTTACACACGTGCAATACATCCATCGCCCCACACCTTGTGGCGCCGCTGCAACACCTCCCCCTAGCAAATCTATTATGGAATGCTATCTCCCCCTGCAGAATACGGAGTGCAAAAAATGTGTAAGCCCATCATATTCGTAGTGAAAACTAACAATTTCTCACAAGGTTACCCATATATACACTTTTTTCCGGTTCTGACTTGTTTAACTTTGAAGCTCTTTTTGTGTCTCTTTCTTAATATCTTTTTTTAAAAACAAGAGATAACAAATACGCGAGACTAGTTATATTCGTACTCTCTTCATTCGAAAATGATCTTCTCATTTGACTTTTATTGATCAAAGTTTGTAATCTATGAATGTGTTTCGATATAAATGTAGAATCAATATGAAATGTTATTTTGAAACACACACCGATTCATGTGACAGTCGTTTTGAATATCGTTGCATGACCGAAGTCTCATATGGGATATCGTTGGAAAAATTGATTGTTTTTACCATATAATCCTACTAAACCTCGTCTCCACGAGGGAGGGGGGGGGGGACATCAAACTTACCCCGCTCCATTGCGCGCTATCATATATCATATCTGCAGCGAGATCATTCAGTCGATGGTCCCCCTTGACTACTTTGTGCCAAATTTTCTTAGGTATACATCTCTCTCTAGTTACATGTCTGTTCACCATTGATCCCAATATCACAAGAATCAGACCGATTAAAATTTTATAAAATATATTTATGTATAAATGTAAATTTTAATGATTAAAATGTAGCATCAAATATCGTAAAAAAATAAAAGAAAAAATCATTTTTCAAAGGGAGATAGTATTTGTTTTTTTTAAATACGAATAAAAGGAAATGAATCCGTTGTTGAATTACTACTCCCTTCGTCTGAAAATATTCTTCCCATTTTCCTTTTTGGCCCGTTCGGAAATATTCTTCCAATTTTCTTTTTTGGTATACTTTTTAAGGCTAAATATCAATAATACTCTTCTAATTTATCACCAATCTACTTTTTTAGTACTTTTTTAATAATAAAAAGAGATTTAAAAGTTTATGGTATGTGCATTTTTGAAAATTTTGCATTTTTTTTACTATTCTTTAATAAGCGTGCCAAGTCAACACGGGAAGAACATTTCCGGACGGAAGAAGTATAATTTTAGATCTATTTACAATCCTGCTAGTAAAAAAATTCTCCACGAGTCAAAGACTCAAGCTTGTACAAGTTTCCAAAATTAATCAAGAGAATAAACCTCTACTCAGACAGGTCGAGTGAATTTGAAGATCAAAAGAAGAGGAAGGAGGATAAAATTTCTCGTGGCCTCCTTCATCATCGGCATACAAATCACCAGGTATTTCTCTTCACACGCCCCATCGTCATCTTCTTCGCTGCTTAAATCTTCAACATTGTCAAAATACTCTCACGAAAATCTGAAAATTTCACAGGTATTTTTATCATCAGAGAATTTTTAGAAGTTTGAAATTTTAAATCTGAAACACAACTCTACTCATCTTCTATCTGCCATAATATTTTTCGAGTGTGTGTTTGAAACACCTGTAGATTTATGTTCTTATTTTTTCAGGTGTCAGTTTGATACCGTGTTTTTTTGTTCCAATTTTCCTATTTTATAGATATCCTTTTTTTCAAAATACCTAAATGTTAAGGAATAACATTGATATCACAAAAAAAATTCTTGAAATTAGATTCTCCTTCACGGAAGATGGAGTTAATATGTTCTTCAGGGTTGATTTTGATAATTCACAATAATTTTCAGAGTACCAATAGGCAAAGTGGGCAATTAAATTTTGACTCACAAGTATATTTTTATTAACATCATAGTAGTAGACTGATTATGCCACATTTTACTGAAAACTCCATCCGTCTCGCGCCCAAGGGCACATTTACTATTTCGGCATGTCCATGACTTTTGTTCATTTATGTGTTTTTATTTATCATTTGATAAATGTAAAATGTCATCTCTTGATTTGTAGAACTTTTGATGTAGTTTTTAAATGTGTAAGCTTCTTTTTTTTCAATACTAGTTTTTTAAGAAAATGATTCTAAAAAGTGTGGGGTTTTGCTTCGTAATCTAAAGTGCCATTAGGCACAAGATGAAGGGTGTATGTGTTTGCCATTTTTTTAAATATTAGGATGGCCTAGAGACCCTACTCTCTTAGAAACAACATCTCTACTTCCAAGTAGGAAGAATGTATCCCCAAATCCTACTATCTTGTTGGATTCTATTGGTTTTGTTGTTGTTATTAGGATGGTCTACGAAGTACTACACTAGTTTTTTTCCTATAAGATTAATACTCCCTTCGTCCTAATAAGCCTTTCCACATTTGATAAAGTTGGTATTTATATAAGTGTAATATGGGTGTTACTTTCCCATTTTACACTTTCTTTATGGTAGAGTAGAATAAGGTATGATGGGTAGATTGATGATAAATAGGTATAAGGTGTCATCTAGCTTAATAATAATAATTAATTGGGGTAAATAGATGATTTTAATTGAGAAATGAAGTGTTTTTTGGAACTGATGAAAAAGGAAAGAGGAAATGTTTTGTAGGACTTGAGGGAGCAATTGTTTTCAGAGTGTTTGTTACTTATGAAAAAACAAAATAATTTATAAAGAGATTTTTTATGGAGTGCACGATCTTTTCTGAAATTTCACCCTTTCATTCTTTAGACAAGGGTAAATTTTGAAAAAACTCAAATTTTGTTGTTAGGACCTACAAAATAGTTATTGTTATTGTTATAGTTAGTCATCAATTGTAATGCATACAACACCCCACTCACACACTCCTCATTTTTTTAAAGTAACACGTACTTTATACAACAACAATGAAGTCTTATCCCACTAGGAGGGGTCGACCACATGGATCAAATGATGTCATTGCGCCGTATCATGTATCATATCTGCAGCGAGATCATTCAAAGGTCCCCCTTGACCACTTTGTGCCAAGTTTTCTTAGGTCTACCTCTTTCTCTAGTCACATGTCTATTCACCATTTGATCAATCCTTCTCTCCATTGGTCTTTTTTCCATATGTCCAAACCACCTAAGATGAGTTTTCACCATCTTTTCTGAAATAGGTGTCACTCCCACTTTAGGTTTGCTATCTTCTTTTCTTTTCTATCCATACGCGTATCACCGCTCATCCATTGAAGCATCTTCATTTCGGCCATACTAACCTCGCGTTCATGCTCACTGCTCACCCTTTGTTGCCCAACACTCCATTCCATACAACATAGCTAGTCTAATCGCAATACAGGTAAATTTTTTCCTTTAGTTTGAAAAAGCCTTTCTTGTAACTTATAAAGCCTCAAGCACTCCGCCATTTGAAAGTAACAAGTACTTTATATTAAAGAGAATTAAAACAAACCCAACATACATTTTAGCAAGATAAACACACTGGGACTCTCAAGGTAAGCCCCACCCTTGCTAA